AACAAATCAGAGATTATAAATATATTTACTCCTTTGTCATTGTTATACTAGTAGTCCCCTCAAATTCTTCGTGAATTAATGTTGGGCATTCAACAAACCACAAATAAATGTATATTATGCATTAGAGTCCCTACTATAGGTACCTTTACTTTGTCTATTATCTACCTCCAATTCATCTTACACACTTAAATCATGTTTTATAGCTCTGCAGAGACTCCATTTCTTTAACATGACCCTTTCTCCTTTCTGTCCATCTACTCCCTTCCTTAATCATTAAGCCGTTAGGCTGGTCAGTATCAAATTGTCTTAAGAACAAAGCCTCAGGTTTGTTGACCCCAGAAACATACTTTCAGCCAAGTTAAAGATAACATCTTGACTTCAGCTGTGTTTCAGCCCCAGGTTCATGAAAGCAGAACACTGCGGACCACATCCAGACAGAACAATGCATGACTGACATCAGAACTTGATATAATTATCAACTACCTTCTACCCTGGCCTCAATCAGTAGAGCCCACAACCCCAACTCTGTTAGCCACCATGATTAATGATTCCCCCTCCAAATAACCCATCCCCTGGGAGCCATCGAGGAGCCACGTCTTCCAGCACTAGTTTACCTATGACTCTGGGACTGGCGACATTTCCTCAACTAATAAACCTATACTTTCTTGGTTGCAAACTCCTGTTAGCTTTTGATTGGGCTTTGATGTGCATGGGTGAACAGACCCCTTAATCTGGTAACACTTCTCCAAATTTCAGCAGTTCCTTAATGTTTAGAGAATAAAGTTGAGGCTCCTTAACTTGAAATTCAAGGTCTTGCACAATCTGGCTCCCAACTGCCTTCTTTCCATTGTAGCCAGACCAGATCCTCCAAATGCCATTTCAATTCCCACCCATATGTTTTTTCTCAACCTCCAGAGTGTCCTCCTCTTCTCCAACATTGTGAATGTGATTCTATTTTGTCTTGTTTCCCATTGCTCCTCCTAAATGTTACTGACTGGTCTGGGTCAAGGTTCAATAGTGAAGTAGGTGATATTCATTACTGACTCTACTTTGGTACAACTCTGTCCCCAGCTTCCCCCACCACCTACACCTTCTCTCTCAAAGCTCCATGGACCTTATCACCTTTGGACCATAATCTTTACCACGGGAAGGATATGTTCAAGTGTGTGCGGGAGATGTGTGTGTGCACGCATATGTACCCATGAGTTTACCAATGCTTGCTCACCAACCCTGGAATTGCTCCACTTCACTCTCTACCATCCATTTCCAACCTGCTCCCTCACTCAGTTGATTTCTGGGCTTCATACCTGTTTTCTCCTTGTTGCCTAGACCTCTTTGGATTAGGAACTTTGATTTCTCCTTGTGGCCTAGCTCCATCTGGTACTTCCTCTAATTACAGTTTTCAGGAGCTATTTGTTCTTTGAACTCTAAGCATATACAACCCCGAAGACTCCTTAGTGGATGCTCTGGATTGGTCAGGGCTAGGGAGGGAGATGGGAGTCTGTTTTCATTGGTCCAATACCTTCATCACAGTTTTGGTAAATGAACTCCAGAATAGTGTATCAATAGGAAATATATAAAAAGGTTGCACAATTTTTTTAGTGTAAATCAGGCAATGAAGTATTAGTTGCAGTAGGTGGAGGGGTGAGTAGAGGTGGATTTACCATCAAGTTAATACAGATTAAGCTTCAGGGTCTCTTTGAATGTCTTGTATCTATTTTTTAATTTAATTTTTATGTCAGTTTTCTAAAGAGATCCTGAAAATAATTAAACCTCCTCCACCCTTTCATTCCCATTTTAATCATTCCACAGGGTAGAACAGCATAGCTGTGGCTGTTCAGGTGGACTGAACATGGTAATAGTGGTGCAAACTGAAGGCAAGGCTGCTAAAGTCTACTCCCTGTGCCATGAAACGTGGATTTTACATCTAAAGGCATTGTTCTGCTTTGTAGCTCACCCGCTTAGACTGCAGGAAACCTTTGCTCAGGAACAGCCACATCACCCCAATAGTTTTTTGGACCTTGGCTCCTGGATGCCATTCAGATCTCATATCGCTGAACTGTTACTTAGTCAAATCTCTCTCAGATTTGGCATTCCACACCCATGTCATCTTGACTCCCAGTGATGCTCCCAGTAGTGTCCTTGCTGGCACTACTATGATATACATTAAAATGTATGATGTTTATATAATTTATTTCTAAACTGGTTAATAATTATCTTCCATTGAAGCAAGAGAGAGGAAGGAAGGTTACTAGATTAGAATGACACCATAAAGAGATATGCAGAGTTTTCCCTTTTCTGTCCTCCATTCTTTATCTTACACAACTTGGTTGAAATAGGTATGTGAATTTTATCTAATATTTTCATTGGAAATACCTAATTTTACTTTTAATAAGTCACAGAAACTTAAAAGCAGAAGAAATTCTAGATCTCACATGGTTCAGTCTTCCATGGAATTCATGAATCCTATCTACAACATATGTGGTCTGACATAGATATCATCTAATTCTTGTCTAGATATATCACATGGTGGTCCATTCAATTATTGACCACCTCCAATGATAAGAAATCTACCTCTTGTTAGGCCAGAAGTAGTTAGTATATGCCATTGTGTGCTGCCCTTTAAGGGCACCCACAGAGCGCCCTCCAGGGAGAGGCTCTGCAATCATAAATCCAGTCTGAAAAGCTCGGAGTAATTCCAGGACAATCCATGCCCTCTTGAATAGACAAGATAGCGTCAAATCTAAGATAACATGAGAATAAGGAAATATGAGTTGATAATAGTGGTTATGGGTAACATTTACAGAGTATTACTAAAGATCAGAGGTCATGCAGGCACCATTTAATGCTTTATATTTTTTAGCCATTTATTTCTCACAATATTTTCATGCAGAATATTGTCTTCATTTTCCAGTTGTAGGAACTGAGACACAGAGTTACTAGTCCAAAGTCATGCAGCTAGTAACTGAAAGGGCTAGGATTTGAATCCAAGCCAGTTGGACCTGGAGTCTGGACCCTTAACCACTATAGTAGACTACCTTAATAATTGTAACTAAAAATGTCTAAACCACGTGCCAGGTGTCATTTGCTTATTTGATCCTCATAATAGCAATTCTATGAAGCATGAAATGTTATAGAACAGCTAAATAACTTGCCCAAGGTCCTACAGCTACTGAGTACTGAGTTGGGATTCAAACCCAGGGAACCTGGCTCTAGATCTGATGCTCTTCTCCATTCCTCTTAGATTCCCCTGGTGGTACACTCCCTGTGGATGGTGCCACACACAGAGCTTTGTCATGTGCACAGAAAACAAATGACAAAGTGGGCAAGAGTAAGATATGCACCAGCCGGTAAAGAGAGAAATTAGGTGCTGACAGGTATCTAGGACACCCAGAGGACTTCCTACCCCATCCTTCTTGCAAAGAACACAGAGAGGACAAATTCTCTACAAAGAGAAGGAGCCTAAACAATCAGAAAGAATGGCTTCCCTGCAGGAGTACATGTAGGAAGCTGCTTCTGTGGAGAGGAAAATGAGGCCGAATCTTACCTGCCAGTTTCTGGTTTCTGAAATGGGGCGGGAAGTTTGCAGATACCTGAGTGTTTACTGTGCACATGTGGAATGGAGGTACACCTGGGGCAAGCAAAGGAAGGACCATTTAAAAGTCTAACCAAAGGATTCCGTTTCTGAACAGCTTTTGTGTGTGTTGTGCTGACTATTAAGCAATGTAATTAGTCAATTTTTTTCAGAAATCCATAAAATAAACTTAACTAAGACTGAACTCCTTTGGATTCCACATTTAGTTATTTGTTCATTTAGAGAGCATTGTTCAGTAATATGAAATAATGCTAAATAAATGTTTAGAAATTTATATTTGCAGAGGAAATTTACAAGTTTTATGGGGGGAAGGGATTCATTTGCTAAGTAATTACTTTATTCAATGCTTGTTAGCTGCGTTCAGTAAATATTTATTTAACATTTACTGTATTTAAGATTAAATTAATTGTGAGAAATCCCTAGTTTCAGTTTAATGAGTATTTGGAGTCCCTTTTTTTTTTCAATTTTGTTTCTCAAGAAGTAGCAGGGCTGACTTTTCCTCTAGCCCAGGAAACTTTCAAGTCACGTGCGCACTTGAGATCAGAGACTATGTATCATTTCTGCCTTTTATTCCCAGAGCCCAAGACAGCGTACGGTGCGCATCTTTCAAAACAAGTTTTGGTACCTGGAATCCACTGACCCTGCTGAATGTGTGTGTCTACTAATTACTAACTGCAGATGTTGGTCCCAGAGCGAATCCTAGGTGACAGCGTCCGTTCCATCATCACACGTCTCATTGGCCTCTTCGTCGGCGGCGTGGAGATGGTGGTGGTGTGTGTGTGTGTGTGTGTGGGGGGGGGTTCAACTTCACAAGAGCAAGTTTCTAACGAAATAAATCTCTTTATTCGGATTGGATCCCTTTCTGGTGTGTTTCCTCCGCTGAGAGGCGCGAGTTTATGGGACGTGGCGCTGTCCGCTCTAAAGGCAGGACCCGACCTTGACGGACAGCTGTGTCCGGACGAGGGAGCAAACTGGTTCTCCTCCTGAGTGCTGGACCTGGTCCCAGGGGCGCCCCTCTGGACCCAGAGGGTGATGCCTACCTCTTCATCCGCCCCCTGTTCCTCCCGCTCCCTCGTTGCCCACCGGGAGTTGCCCAATCCCCCGCCGCCTCGTTCCAGTCACCCCCAGGTCTGAGGACTCCTTCCAGCGCTGCCTCGGCCTCAGCTAGGGGGCGAACTTGCTCCCGCCCCGCCCTTCACGGAAGCTCCCAATTGGTTCCCGCGCTAGGCGAAGTCGCCCGCTGATTGGCCGGTGGGCCGTCAGCATGCGGTTCTACGACACTCTGGGGCGAGGCCTGGCGCGGGGTGACTGTCGGCCCCGCTGGGGGCGTGGGGAAAATTACTTCGCTTGTGGATCCTGGCTGCGTGTTTTGCGATTCTTGGCTCCCATTGGGCTTCACTCCACCGGAGAAAGAGCCACAGGAGCGGTGGGCCAAGAGGTTGGGGTTGGGGTGCAGGGAGGGCCTCGGGTGCTGGGCGGCGGGTGCAGGGCCGGGGAGGAGGCTGGGGGCGTGAGGCAGAACCCGGGGGCCCAGGGACATGGCGCGGCCCGACGACAAGGAGGAGGAAGCGGTGGTGCCCGGGCACCCGCCTGCGACAGGACACTTCCCGGTTCCCGGGGGCTCGCCAGCCGGGAAGATGAGCGCGGAGCCGCAGAACGGGCCCAGAGCCGGCTGCCTGGCCCTGAATGGGGTCCCTCGGGACAGCCCCGCGCCCGTCTCGGGAGCCCTGGGCAGGCCGCAGACTCAGCTCACCGCGGAGGAGGAGACCCAGGTTCGGCTGCTAACCGCGGTTCCCGGGGAGGAGCCCCCAGGGGCCGAGGGCTCCCCGGCGCCACTGACGGCGCTCTCCACGCGGCGCTTTGTGGTGCTCCTGATCTTCAGCCTGTACTCGCTGGTCAACGCCTTTCAGTGGATCCAGTACAGCATCATCAGCAACGTCTTCGAGGGCTTCTACGGCGTCTCCTCGGTGCACATCGACTGGCTGTCCATGGTGTACATGCTGGCCTACGTGCCCCTCATCTTCCCAGCCACCTGGCTGCTGGACACCAGAGGCCTGCGGCTCACCGCCCTGCTGGGCTCCGGCCTCAACTGCCTGGGCGCCTGGGTCAAGTGCGGTAGTGTGCAGCAGCATCTGTTCTGGGTCACCATGCTGGGCCAGTGCCTGTGCTCCGTGGCCCAGGTGTTCATCCTGGGCTTGCCCTCCCACATCGCCTCAGTGTGGTTTGGGCCCAAAGAGGTGTCCACGGCTTGCGCCACCGCCGTGCTAGGCAATCAGGTAAGGACTAGCATGGTAGATAAAAATCGGATCTTTGAAGGACCAGATAAAGTCCTAGGCCATGTAAGCTAGGCATATGGATAGACGCTCAGGAGGTTGTCTATAAATGAAGGCGATAGGAGGTAGCCTTGGGTTAAAGAGGGATTTTGATCCATTTGTAAGGACAGAACTTTGAAAACCAGTTTAAAGTGAGCACTTTATCATTTTGCTTTGAGAGTTACCTATAAAATAATTAACTGAATTGGCCCTTCTATGCCTGACATAGAAAACTTGTCAGTGCAGTAATGAATGAAACTTGGGTAGGTATTATTTTTGTCCTCACCCCCAGTGTATTTGCAAAAGAGGTGTTGGACTCTGGAACGGTTGTTCCCATCAGAGTGGTCAATGTAAAGAGCCCTGTTTAATTTTATATAGTAGCAGTCAGCAGAGTGCCTGGTACATAATGGACACTTATAAATGACTGCTAAATAAATGTTCTAGTGGTAAAGACCTCCTAACATCCTTTAATCCAATTGCCAATTTTTAACAGTAAGAAATCACGATCTTGGAATCATTGTAAAAGGGTGGCTTACATTGCCAATTCTCCATTAAGGTGCTTCCTAGTCTTTTCTAACACCGTAGGTCCAAATTCCATTAACATTACTAGGTAGAATGTCTTGTGTGGTATTTTTTAAATTGTAGATTGATTCTTTTAATGTAATTTAAAATTTGCTTTTGGAGTCTGATGATACTTTATGTATATTGTATTCAGCTTGAGGAGAATCTAGTTAAAAATCTGTATACCAAAAACTTCTCTCTCTGTACATATATTGCTACATGTAGCTATGTAACAAACGGATGCTACTTTCTTCCAGTCCAATACTTGTTTCTAGATCACAAGATTTTTACTTAAAAATCCATGAGAAAAGACAGACTCTGCCCTGGCCGGTTTGGCTCAGTGGTTAGAGCGTTGGCCTGTGGTCCAGAGAGACCCGGGTTCGGTTCCTGCTAAGGGCATGTACCTCGGTTGCAGTTTGTCCCCGGCCCTGGTTGGGTCGTGCGGGTGGCAGCCACTTGATGTGTCCCTTTCACGTCGATGTTTCTCTCTCTCTTCCTCTCTTTCCCTCCCACTCTATCTGAACAAAAAAAAAAAAAAGGAAAAATGTCCTCGGGTGAGGATAAAAAAAAAAAAAAAAGACAGACTCTACATGCTTATTGCTTTATAGTTATTTGCTTTCTCTAAAAGTACAGAAGGGGTAGCTTGAACTATAGTTGTGCATCCAAAATAATTTAGGACCAATATTTTAGTTGTTTGCTTCTGCATGCTTGGATAGGAAAGGTTTACTGAAAGTACTTTACATTTATAAAATTATATTCAAGATTAAGACTTCATTGAGTATGACATAAATATTGTCAACTCCATAACTATGGATTATCTATTTCATGGATAATAAATGGAAACGTTTCTCACAGCCAGATTTCCCTCAAACACTCAGCACACCTCTGGGCCTCCTTCCTATTTCTACCTAGGTGTTCTCATCCTTCCTTGATTCCAGTAGTTGTGCACTTGCTGATGACCCCCAAGTGTGCAACTTCAGCCTAGATTATGGTGTGACCATTTATAATAATATCGAACATTATGCAGCACTCACTAAATAAAACCTGGCACAATTTTAAGTCCTTTACATGCATGTGTCATTTAATATAATAATTTAAGGTAGAGACTGTTACTCCCCATTTTATAGGTATGAAACTGAGACTTGAAGGGATGAAATTATTTTCTGAAAGTCTCACAGCTAATTAGTGGTGGTATTCACACTCAAGTCTGTCTGACTCCTGAATCCTAGCTTTAAATGACCTATCTAATACTGCCAGGTCTTCTACCTGAGCGGACCTTTTAAAACACAGACCAGATCTTGTCGTTGCCCAGCTTTGAATTTGCCAGTGATTTCCTATAGTACTTAAAATCTAAACTCTACTTTGAATTACAAAACCTTACTAATGCCCTGGCCAGTTTGGCTCAGCGGTTAGAGCGTCGGCCTGCGGTCCGGAGAGACCCGGGTTCGGTTCCCGCTAAGGGCACGTACTTCGGTTGCAGTTTGTCCCCGGCCCTGGTTGGTCGTGCGGGTGGCAGCTACTCGATGTGTCCCTTCATGTCGATGTTTCTCTCTCTCTCCCTTCCTCTCTCTCCCTCCCACTCTATCTGTACAAAAAAGAAAAATATTCTCGGGTGAGGATAAAAAAAAAAAAAAAAAATCAAAACCTTACTAATGTGTCTTATTTGGTTCCTTAAACAATAGTAAACTTGCAATTTGCATAAGCACCTTTGCAGAAATATTCTCTCTGCCTGGAATGTTCTTCCTGCTTAAGATGACATTATTACATCCTTATTCTCATTGAGCTCTCAGTTTAAATTCGTTTTAAATATCAGTGGCAATTCTTGACAATTCCATATAGAGTTGCCCAGTCATTCTCTTATTGCATCATTATACTTTAATTCTCCATGTGGTGCTTATCACTGTCTGATATATTTACATGTTTGTATATTAATAGTTCTTTGTTACTAATTTCCCATCCCCACCATTAGATTGTAAGCTTTATGAAAATAGGCCCGAGGTCTGAATGTACCCAGCTGTATCACCAGCTTTATTACAGTGCCTGGCACATTGTAGAGTCTCCATAAAATTTTGTTGAATATATGGATGAGTTTCAGAATCAGAGATTCTGGCCAGCTGGATATTCCACTTGGATATCACATATGACCCAATGATCAAAATTAACTTTGTCTCCTAGCTCATTTCTTTAAATGTCTGCTGCCACTATCTTAGCTTTGGCTACCTGCAGCCCTCACCTAGAGCTTGCTAACTGACCTTTCCATCTGAAGCTCTTGCTCTCTTCCCTCTATTGTCCACATTCATTCAGAGTGGTCTTTCTAATAACAGATCTGTCTGGGGTCTGCCCCTGCAGTGGCTTCCATTGCCCTTAAGATAAAATTCAACTGTCTAAGGTGACTTTTTTTTTTTTTTTCATTTATCTTTAGATAGAGTGGGAGAGAGGGAGGAAGAGAGAGAGAGAGAAACGTCAATGTGAGAAAGACACATCGACTGGTTGCCACCCACACAACCCCAACCAGGGCCGGGGACAAACTGCAACCGAGGTACGTGCCCTTAGCAGGAACCGAACCCATGTCTCTCTGGTCCATGGGCCGACGCTCTAACTGCTGAGCCAAACCAGCCAGGGCTAAGGTGACTTTTTATATGCCCTTCTGGTCCCAGGATTATGGCCAGAGGGATAGCAAGGTCACCAAGAATAATTTGGAGGTTGCCAAGGACTTGTTTTAAAGTGTTTTCAAGTCTGACCGAGAACTCTGACATTTAGGGGGAAAAATATTCAAACTGTCTATTGTGAAAATGTATGATCCTCTGGCTCAGCCTCCTGTCAACTGCTCAGCTTCACCCTTCTCCACAGCCCATTCTTACACGCATACTCTTTCTCTGCTCTGAGGGAAATTGTTGCTCTGTTTACAGTTTCTCACAAGGTCATGCTCGCTCCGTCCTTTGATGACGCTTTGGCTGAGAACACTTGACTTCACTTGGCTAACTCCAAGTTGTTTTTTTTATCCTCACCCGAGGGCATTTTCCACTTTTGTTCAGATAGAGTGGGAGGAGAGAGAGGAAGAGACAGAGAGAGAGGAGAGAGAAACATCAATGTGAAAGGGACACACAGAGTGGCTGCCTGCCGCACAACCCCAACCAGGGCTGGGGATGAATCACAACCGAGGTACATGCCCTTGACTAGAATCGAACCTGTGATCCATCATTGGTCCATGGGCCGATGCTCTAACTGCTGAGCCAAACAGCCAGGGCTAACTCCAATTTCTTATTCAGATCTTTGCTCCTCCAGAAACTTCTGAACTCCAAGTCTGTACAAGGTGTTCCTCCAAAGTACTCTTTTAGCTAGGGTGACTGTATGTTCCAGTTTGCCTGGAAAAGTTCAGTGTCAACTGTTGTCCAGCATAATTACTCCCGGCATCCCTTTCACTCTATAAATAGTGTTCTTGTTTGGATCATAAATTATTTCATCTTCCCAGTCTTATCACCCTCTAACTCTCCATCACAGTATTATATTTACCACACTCTCTTGTAATTACCTGTTTAATTGTCTCAGTTCATTTTTTTGTAAGGGAACAAGTGAAATATTTGGTAAGTGGTATCGATGTGAGAGACATATCAATTGATTGGTTGCCTTCCGCACAACCCTGACTGGGACTAGGGATCAAACCTGCAACCCAGGTACGTGCTGTTGACCAGGAATCAAACCTATGACCCTTTGGTCCGTGGGCTGATGCTCCAACCACTGAGCCAAACCGGCCAGGGCTCACTTAGCATATTTTCAAAGTTCATCATGTTGTAGCATGTGTCAGTACTTCATTCTTTTTATGGCTGAAGATTTCATTGTATGGATATACCACACTTTTGTTTATCCATTCATTTGTTGATGGACATTTGTGTTGTTTCCACCTTTTGGCTATTGTGATTAGGGCTGCTTTAATATTCATATACAGTAGTCAATATTTGTTTGAAAACCTGGTAAGTAGCTAGGAATGGAATTGCTTGGTCATATGGTAATTCTGTGTTTCACTTGTTAAGGAGCTGCCAAACTTTTCCACAGTGACCACATTATTTTACAATCCCACTAGCAGTGTGCATGGTTCCAGTTTCTCCATATCTTGCCAACATTTGTTATGTTTCCATTTATTTTCCTATTATAGTAGATATGAAGTGCTAGCTCATTGTGGTTTTGATTTGCAATTCCCTAATGACTAATGATATTGAGCATTTTTCCATGTGTTTGTTGGACATTTGTATATCTTCTTTAGAGAAATGTCTATTCAAATCCTTTGCCTATTTTTGAATTGGGATGTTTGTCTTTTTGTTGTTGAGTTACAAGAGTTCTTTATATATTTGGGATAATAGACCCTTATCAGATATATGATTTACAGATATTTTCTCCCATTCTATAGATTGTCTTTTCTCAGTCTTATTTTGCATATTCTTATTCCCCTTTTTGATTGTAAGCATCTAACTTTATAGCAGTATCATTCAGATTACAGGTTAATGCTTATTGATAGGGAAGATATCCATTAGCAGTTTCTCTTTAACAATGCAATTGTAAAATGACATTCAAACATGGTGCTTTAGAGTTTACAAAAACACTTTACATACACTAGCTGTCCTTTTTGTGTTGTATTGATTGGCAGTATGTATTTTTTTTCTCTTCTAATAATAGCTGTTAACAGGACTGTTTATTTTACAGCTTGGAACTGCAGTTGGCTTTTTGCTACCACCAGTGTTAGTGCCCAACATACAGAATAACACAGATCTTTTGGCTTATCATATCAGTGTCATGTTTTATGGAACATCACCTGTCGCCACACTTTTATTTATTTTAACAGTAATTGGTAAGTGAATTACTTTCCCTAAAGCCTAAGTAGATAAATGCATGACAAACATATGAAAAGAAAAATAACCAATTCTGAAAATTTTTATTGCTATCTCAAATGCCATTTGCTTGTTTCATTCTTGCTGTAACCCTGCCTTGCTCAGGTAATGAATGTTACAGCTCTAGAGCTGTTATGGTCCATCTACTTTAATATTGTGAAGGGCTCGAAGACTAATTCATCTCACTTATCTCCCTACTAACTTTTCTTCCCTGATAACTGTTGGTTTCAAACATATTACCTGCCTCCTCTTTGCATATTTCCCTACATGTTCTGCATCTTTTGCTAACCTAGCCAGGAACAAGTTCTTGCCAAAGCTTTGAAACAAGGCAAATAGGTTACAACCTTCCTTTTCATGATAAATCCATCTGAGGATCCTGAAGTTAACAATTGATGGGATCCGGAAATGTTGACCAGTGAATGATCCTGGGCAGTGGCAAGCTGTTCAGCAGAATTTCAAACCGTGGCAACTATCTACTTATTAGGCCACCCCAGCAAAGCTCTGCTGCCGCCGTCCATCACTGAGTCCTCTCGTCGGGGCCTGTCTCTTGAAGCAGTCAGTCAGAATCAGCTGCAAGCAGCCATCATCAGTTTGGAAGAAGGTTTGGGAAGGTCTGCTTTTTAAAGTTTATTTTTAATGGGAAGCAATTTTGATTTCAGGGAAAAGGATAGGTAAAGTTTATTTAGGTAATATAGCTACTTACATAACTGTAACACCGCCCTTTAGGCCCTCAGTATATCTGAAATGAATTTGAGGAGGAAGGAACTTTGAAGTTGAAAGGCCATCTTTTAATCATTAAAATTTACAGTTAAATCAGAGTTTTAATTTATATATTAATTTTTACCATGGTTATAATAGTAATGAAAAATTTGCCCTGGCCAGTTTGGCTCAGTGGTTAGAATGTTGGCCTGCGGTCCAGAGAGACCCGGGTTCAGTTCCCACTAAGGGCACGTACCTCGGTTGCAGATTGTCCCCGGCCCTGGTTGGGTTGTGCGGGTGGCAACTATTCGATGTGTCCCTTTCGCATTGATGTTTCTCTCTCTCTCTCTCCCTCCACTCTATCTGCACAAAAATGTGGAAAGATGTCCTCAGGTGAGGATGAAAAAAAAAGAAAAATTTAAGTTTTATGATCTCCAAATATGAAATCCTCTGTTTTCAAAGAAAGTAATGCAGAAGACTAGTATTTTGATAGAGACTGCCTTTATAAATGAACCTCAGGATCCAGGTGTGGGAAGCTCAGCCCACATATTTAATTTCTCTTAAGATAATGAACAAAATATTTTCTTAGTAGCATAAAAAATATTCTGTCCTATCCAGTTCACTTATAAGGTTGTTTTTCATGTTTCAGTTAGTGAGTGGCATATTTGCTGTGTGCAGACTACCGAAAAGGACACATTTTCCCTGTATTATTTGAGTAGTTTAAGAAAGTTTTAAAATAAGTCTATATTTTTTAAAAACAAGCTCTTTTTTATTTTTTATTTTTTTGTTAATCCTTACCCAAGGATATTTTTTCTATCATTTTTTTTAGAGAGAATGGAAGAGAGGGAGAGAGGGAGAGAGAGAGAAACATCAATGTGAGAGAGACACATCAATCAGTTGCCTCCTGACTGGGCCAGAGATCAGACTTGCAACCCGGGTATGTGCGCTTGACTGGGAATTGAACCTGAGACCCTTCTGTGTGCAGGTCGGCACACTAACCACTTAGCCACACCGGCCAGGTCTAAAAACAAACTTTTAACTATATTTTTCTGATAGCCATAGTTGATTTGCTGGATGAAGTATAGTTCATATACATTTTGCATTAATGGGCCCTTTATTAGCAATAGGGATTATTAAAATATAAAATTTTAATATTATATTTCCTTCGATTGCTTATGAATCTTCATATAAATTATGGTTTTTCTTTTTTAAAAAATTTTCCTCAGTTTTCTCTTTGAAAGAAGTGAGAGAGTAATAGATTATATGTGTATCTATATATATCTATATATACACATACATATATGGGATGCTACAAATGAAAGATTTTTATCTGTTAAGGAAGGAGGACAAAAACAAAAAACAATAATAGGTGTGACCATTGACATATCACCCTGTGTTAGTGGAGAAATTAAAAGAGAACTATGTACATAATTACTTATTTGTGTACTCATGGCTTATAATAGAAATGGGGGTGAGGGAGAATGGAAAAATGGACTGGAAATGGAATAGGAAGAAAGCGCTTATTGTCAATTTTTGCTTAGAGACTTATACTCTTAATCTTAGGATACCAAGCATAGTATAAAAGCAAGATAATATACAGTTGGTTTGTAAATGTGTTTGTTAGGTTGAAAATTGTGACATTTAAATTGAAAATTTGCCTGTTTTCCAATATCCAAATATTTGCTATTGAGGAAAATTTGGGTTATTTACAAAGTCCTCACCCTGGCTGGTGTGACTTAGTGGTTAGAGAATAAGCCCACAAAACAAAGGGTCATGGATTCGATTCCTAGGCAAGGGCACATACCTGGGTTGCAGGTTTGATCCCCAGCCCCCATTGGGGCATGTGCGGGAGGCAACCAATTTGTGTGTCTCTCTCACATCAATGTCTCTCTCTCTTTCTCTCTCTCTCTCTCTCTCTATCTCTCTCTCCCTCCCTCCCTCCCTCCCTCCCTCTCTCTCCCTCCCTCCCTCCCTTTCATTCTATCTAAAAGTCAATGGAAAAAATATCCTTGGGTGAGGATTAAAAAAATAATAATAATAAAAGTCCTTACTTACTGAAAGGTCTTTAGTTACTAAGAGACAGTCCTACTTACCTCTAAATTATACCCATAAACACTTTGGAAGCCCAGCCAAATCCTGTGAAATAACTTAGGTTGCTGATGTTTTCAGCAACATGACATATACTAAATTGGTACCTAGCAGTACCTAACGTACTGTCTTGAGGGGTCATGCTGTGTATGTAATTCCTTTACCCTTCCTCATGGAACCTGAGTGTAATCCATCTAACATTTCTAAATTAACCCAAGCCTTCCACTGAATGTGCACTACTACCCCCTTCTTTTTGGGAGAACTCTGTTATGGCCTCTAACATTTGATTATTTGATATGTATCAAATATGCTTAAAGATATGCTATATGTTTATCTCATTCAATCCTCACAGCCCTGTGAGGGCGACACTGTAATTATCATTCCTATTTTATAGATGAGGAAACTGAGGCAGAATTTAAATAAATTTACCAGTGGTTGCAGTTAGTAAATACTGAAGATGAAATTTGAGCCTAGGCAATCTAACTCCATATATAAAATGTTCTATATATATATAAATATACCATTTTAATTTTTACTTAATCTTATTTTTGTTTCAATTCAAATTCTTGTATAAATGGTCATGCTGTTGTATTTGAAAGCTATATAGCAGAGCAATAGACTATGTTACTTAACTCAAGTGTGCCAATTAAAGTCTTTACCATCCTGATTCAGTCATCCTGATTGAGTGGATGCCAAAAACAAAACCAATGCTAATCAAAATGTTGAATGTTGAGGTACTTACACACATGAGTGTATCCATGTATGCATACTTTTTTTTTTTTTTTTTTTTTTGTCCTCACCCGAGGACATTTTTCCATTTTTTGTTCAGATAGAGTGGGAGAAGGAGAGAGAGAGAGAAACATCGATGTGAAAGGGACACATCGAGTGGCTGCCACCCGCACGACCCAACCAGGGCCGGGGACAAACTGCAACCGAGGTACATGCCCTTAGCAGGAACCGAACCCGGGTCTCTCTGGACCGCAGGCCGACATTCTAACCGCTGAGCCAAACCGGCTAGGGCCATGTATGCATACTTTTACTTCTGATTCTTCTAGTCAGGATATTTATATGTAGGCTGCTATTGTAAACTTTTCACAGAAATATATTTTATTTAGTCTATAAGAATTTCAAGCTCCTGAGATAAAGGTAGTCTCTGATTTTTAAAAATAAATATTCCTTGAGATATATTTTTTCTTTTTTTTTTCAAAGAAGACAGTGTATTTTGTGTAGCACTCAATAATTACAGAATTCCTTTATGTGTATCATATCAGATAGCTTGTTATTTTCATTTTATGGATGAGAGAGCTACAGTCAAAGACAGGAACTGACTTCTACAGAGACAGTGCCAGGATTCAAACCTAATGAGTTAATATGTGTAATGTCTGCTTGACTCACACAGGGACAGACAATGACATGGAAAGATAATGTTATTATCTACCTTCAAAAAGTAGAAGTGGTCCTAAACAAAAGATTGGCTACTTCATCACGGGAGAAGTTTGAATGTGGTGCCCGCCCCCGGGTCCTTTGGCTTTTTTATATGCCTGTTGCCAGGGGTGGAGAATAACTGCTTTAATAGTTAATTACTTTATTGGCACACGTTTTTTTGTGGGGAAAAGAGAAGAGAGTAAGAAGGCAGTTTTTCAGTTTCAAAGGATAAGGAAAAAGCCGTATTTCATCTTTTTCAAATACAGTACAGCTTAAATAGGGTCACAGACCAATGGTTTTTTTGTCCCTTTTCTTTTCTCATATATTATTAAATTGTGTAGCTGGCAGATACAGGCCTGGTTTTGTTCGAAAGGGCAGGAGACTGCCCGAAACAAAAAATAACACTTCTACTCAGACAGTAAGTCCAGTGGGGTTAAAGACTATTAAGAATAGTTTTTATTTTGCATTTGAGTTCAGATTGGGGCCATTTAGACTTATTTTACCATAGTGAATAAAAACTTAAGAAAATGAAGACTCACTAAATATTCATGACTATCTTGCAGGCATTTTTGTATTCTAAAACTTTGTTGTACAACTGTGTGAGTTCCGTATCACCGATATTAATAAAAAGAGGTATCTCCTATTTTAACTAGGACACTCAGCAAAGGACAGCAGACTCCTCAACAGTGCAAGGAGCAGGTAGGGTGAAAGGAAGAGGAGGGATTGCAGCAACTTAAACATTGTGTGTCTCCCAGTCCTCCAATGTAAGGGTGTTAAAAAGTAAATACCTATGAGTCACGTCTCCTCTTGAAGTAGTTGTGAGACCTGTAAAAACAGAAGTCTGTTTTAGTTATATCATAATCAATGTTTTGGTGAATAAAGAACTTAGTTTTTTGTTTTAATTTTTAGCAGCAAACAGGAGAAATTAGAGAATTGCAGTATTATATGAAAGTTTCAAGGATGATTTCTTTCACAGTGATTTTCAAACCTGGCTGGGTATCGATAGCATTTGGAGAGTTTCATGTTTAATACCGATGCTCAGGTTCTGTGCTGGAGGTTCTGATTCTTTGAGTCTTGGATAGTCTCTTAAATCTGTATTATTTTAAAATTTCTACATGATTATGATTGACAACCGGGTCCATCAGCTCTAGCCCACTTTTGAACTACAAGGCAGGCCTACCTTGTTGGAAGATATAGCCACTATTAAAAAAGAGAGAAAAGACAAGAAAGAGAAAGAAGTCCTGATCTTTTAGAAAATATTACTTTTTCCTGAATCCAATACCCTATTTCATTGATTCTGAATTGTATATTTTTATCATGAAATCTCTGAAATCAAAATGCTTTTATTTTATTTTTTAACTTTAAAAAAAATTCTTACCTGAGGATATGTTTTTATTGATTTTAGAGAGAGGGGAAAGGGAAGAGAGACAAATAAACATTGATGTGAGCGAGAAACATTGATTGGTTGCCTCCCGTACACACCCTGACCAGGGATTGAACCCACTACCTGGGTATATGCCCTAACTCGAACCCACAACCTGTTGGTGTATGGGCTGACACTCCAACCAACTGAGCCACCCAGCCAGGGCCAAAATGCTTTTAATAATCAATGGCATCTAAGATGAACAAGTTCTAAAGGTCTGCTTTCCAACATCATGCCTATTATTAACAATACCATATTGTTAACTTAAAATTTAAGAGGGTATATTTCATGTTGTGTTCTTTTCACACACACAACAAAATCAATGGCATGTAACATTGGTGGCAACTGAGACATGATTGCATGAAAACCTTCTATTGATACCTGGCAAGATCACTGAGTACCAGTATCAGACCATCTTAGATTCAATAAAATATGATATTTTTCCTTTATTTTAATTTAAATTTTTGAGTCAGTGCTAAGACTAGGTTTTAATTTCTGATGTACCAAATTTTAGCAGTTCAGCTCTTCTATTAAGTAGTCTTGACTTCTGTAGTCAAACCCTACAGAAATCTCTCCCCAGGCACCTGCTGCAGGAAGTTAATAGATCCTTCCTTGCCCAGCTAAAGGGCAGTTTCTAAATGGCTGGCTGAGAAGCCTGTGAAATCTGTCTCTAACTCCATAGAAATGGGCTGTAGTAGGACTTATAGAATCAGAAACCATCACACAAAATCTACCCCTACATTTTTCCATATGCAGCTAGAGTGAGTCAGCAAGAAAGACCCAGCTCTGCTCCCATAAATCCACCTGGACCTCTCCAGGTCTAGAGGTGGAAGTGGATAGATGATAACATTTATGTCTGAGTTCAGAAGAAATAGTTACTAACTCAAGGCAGTCCTCTAAACGTTCAATAATATGTTGGCATGCTCTGATGTTACCTTTAATTATAAATGGAACTAAATTTAGACATAGAATTGTTGAATACTTAATATGATAAAGATTAATCTTGCTTAACGAAAAATGGGATAATCAGTGGGCAAGGTTTCGACATACTGTTAACGGTTTTGCAGTTCTGAACGGGCCAAATCTCAGTTTTAGTCCGTCTCAATGCCAAACTAGTCATCACTTAGATATTAGTGGAGAATGAAAAGTCTCACTATTGGACTTTCACTACCTCTTTAAACTTAATCTGAATTTAATCTGCTCACTAAGGAAGACCCATTTACATTTCCATGTACATTTCCAGCATTCAAAGAAAAACCTCAATATCCACCAAGTCCAGCTCAAGCAGCAATTCAGGACAGCTCCCCTAAAGAGTACTCCTACAAGGAATCAATAAGGAACCTATTTAAAAACATTTCTTTTGTCCTTCTATTGATCACTTACGGTAAGTGGTTTTCTTTTACCTTCTTTGATGTCTATATAAACCTTTGAGCATTGTAGATTCTTTTCATTTAATCTAGAGGTTTGCGCTTTCATTAATGAGGTAGGGTTGTTAACTCTATAAAAATAATGATGGCATAGTCATGCATTTACATTTTGAACTAAAAGCAAAAACTTCAGAACAGATTTTCTTGCATGTTTTAAAAATAAATGAATAGACCTCAAACAGAGAAGCACTGCCCTCTTGTGAGTTCTCACGGGTACTCGAGGTCCTTCCTGAGCTATAGTTATGACTGCTGTAAACGGGGGGGAAATGTTATCAACAATTGTTTTGTTTGACCCTGTGCAGAATAGCGTCTGTCCTGACTACTCGAGCAAAACGAGCCATTAAGGAGGTCACTTTGACCAGTTCTAACTTTAAGAAATTCTCAGATGCTCACCTTAACTCTGTAGTTTTGATTGCAGGTACCATCTCATTTGGTTCCCTTCAGAGATTTCTGACGGTTTATTTTTTGTTTCTTGTATTAACACGGTTTATGGTAACCACCCACAGCCCCCATATCTGCCTTACCGGCCTTCAGAAGTCACTCACTCCTATTTACTTTACATTATTGGGGGAGTACACACCCAAGCATATAATTGTTTTACAGGTTGTAACAAATTATGCCCTGACCTAAACTCTTACCATTTTACCAAGATCAGTTTCTTTTTTTAAAAAAATCTAATGAATTCCTATGTACCCACCATCACTTGGTTTCAACAGTTACCATATTTCATCGTTGTTGTTTTATCTATTTCCTCTCCATTTTTGCTGGACTATTTTAAAGCATATCCCAGGGGTTATAACATCTCATCATGAAATACTTCAGCATGCCACACTTCCTTTTCTCTATTTTGCTGGTTACCTCCACTGGTAATGTTGAATCTGAAACTCCTAACTAAGAAGTAGAGTGGTTCATATGATCTCTCAGGGCAAACTCATTTCTTTAGTCTGTCATTGAAGGTGGCTTCTTCCCTGTCTTCTTTTATCTCGCACTGTTTTCCCAATACAAAATTCTCTTTCAGCCAAATGTATAACCAACCTCCTGTCACAGACACACACTCACACATGCAAATGTGCCTCCACACGCTTTTATACTATTAGTTCTAGTCTCTGTAACTTTGTGCCGTTGTGTCTTGTACCTGAAATGTGCTCCTTTTGTTCCTGAAGCTGTTCCACAAGGGCTAGCTTGACAGTAATCTTACTTATTCATTTCATTCATTCATTCTGGAAAGGAATGGCAACATTGCATTTTTCACAACTCTCACAGAGAACACCATACCACTTTATGAACTGGTAAATGATACATTTGTAATTTTCTGCTTATTATTGTAGGGATCATGACTGGAGCATTTTATTCAGTCTCAACATTATTAAATCAGATGATACTGACATATTATAAGGTAAGCTTCTGCCTATATTGTACTGCATGCCTGGCCAAGAATTTTTCTTCAGCAGTAGAACTGCTGTTAGCATGATCATAAGATTAAAGATTTATGACCTTGTTGCTATAAAAGATTTATATTTGTTTTAATTGAGAATATATTCAATCCAGTTTATAAACACACACAATGGAAAGCAGAAGTTATTGTTTTGACAATACCTGCCTTTTTATTAGTATTCTTTTTTGAAGACACAGTGTAACTGGTTACATGGAAAAAGAAAAAAATGTTAAGGGAATCCAACATAAATATGAGGAAGTAAATATCAGGTTCTGACCTCTCTTTGCTTTTGAAAAGAGAAAGCAGTTGTAATATGTGAAAGCTGTCGGATTAACTTCCTTTTCAGACATCTGTGACTTAATTAAGAATTCTAACAAAAATCATTGCACTTATAATTATGGAGGAGCAAGAAAATTTTCCTTTTTGATTTCTCCATATTTTAAGGTTTCTTTTTTCTGGTTTGAAAATACAATGTCCTTTATACGTGCTCTACCTCCCCCCACCCCATCCTAAAACATTACCGAATCTTCCTGTTATATCGTATGCTTAATTATGTGATTATTTCCATTGATGGGAAGGTGAAGTGTCTGATTAACTTCCTATGAAACTCCTTTCAAGGGAGAAGAGGTGAATGCTGGCAGGATTGGGCTGACACTGGTAGTGGCTGGAATGGTGGGCTCCATTCTCTGTGGCTTGTGGCTGGACTACACCAAAACATACAAGTAAGTGGAGGTAGATACCTGTGCGGTGTACAGCCTTAGGTATTTTGGTTTTAAAGAAAACTTTGCTTTTCATTTAAAAAAATTAAAAAGTGTTATTCCTACAAGACATAGATTCTAGGCACTCAGGTTGCCTTCACTTCTGAATGTTTCTGTAGTCTATATATTGTCTTATTTTGTTGATCATATTTGTTTTACCTTTGAGAACTTGGATACATTACGAACCTCGTTCCCTCCCAGTAATACTCAAATAAGCCACTTGTGTTCTAAAACGAGTCCTTTCTGAGAAACATTTAGCTTCTGACAGAAATTTTATACTGCCCTTTTCTCACATTGTGAGCTTAAAAACAAACAAAAGTTGTTCTTTCCTATCAAAAAGATTATTATTGAGCATAAGGATTTTTTTTTGGTAAAATGTTTTGACTGAAGTACCCCCAACTACAGCACCACTTAACTATCATATAATACATAATATGAAAACACTCTATTAATTGTATATCTATATGGAATCCGCAAAATGCTAACACAGAAGGAAAAGTGAGTAATACCCCTGGGAGGTTGGGAAAGGGGTTTTAGAGGCAGCTCTTTTGCACTGGGCCTTAAAAAAATAGCTACATTTTTTAACAGGCAGAAACTTTCCATTTGCTTGGGAGGAATGCATGAGTGAATGCATGAAAGCGAGGTGAATAAATGGAATGAATAAAATATGGAACTGTATCCTGTGCACCTTCAAGGCCCAAGATATGTCTAATACCATTATCTAAACCCTTTGAATTACTTCTGATCTTGAATTCTCCAAGATCGTTCTCCTATAACTTAAGATAGCACCTGCTACATCTTCATTATTATGAAATAGTAGCTAGAGCGAAACTCATTGAATTTATGGATGAAGAGAGCATATGTAAAGGATTAAATTTATCACTAGTTTTGGTCCATTATATAATTGGAAAACTTGATAGGCATAGAAATGTGTTCTTTGTTGCCCTGGCTGTGTTCTCAGGTTAATTAGCCCTTGGCTAGGAATTGTGGCAAGCAGTATGGTCCCTGTCCTTAAGACACTTGTGGTCTAAATGGGGAAAACAAAGCATTCACATATAAAAAATTAAATAATAATGCAGACTAAAGTAGATGTCATAAATCCAATATATGTCAAGTGCCACTTATGTGGATAGTACAATGATAAGGAAATTTAGAAGAAAGAAACAATGTTGTAAGCTTCAATGGTTCGGAAAGGCATTTTGGAAGAGGTAGAATTTAATCCAAGACTTGAAATACCAATAGGGAACCATCCCATTTGAAGACATAAAAATGATTTTATCCATATGAATATTCCTTCCTGTATGAACATTAGATATGGTGTGGTTTTGTTGTCTGTTGCTGTTGAAATTTAAGCTTTGAAGTCCATGCTTTGGTGGAAATCTTTCCCATAGATAAGGAAAACCTGATCTTGAAAACTAAAGTATTTATTTACTGTATGGACAGAGCTGTGGCTAATCACGTGGTTATGTGCTTAGGACAAAATACTAACAATTTTTTTGTTTTTGTTTTAGACAGACTACTCTGATAGTTTACATTTTGTCTTTTATTGGAATGGTTATATTTACTTTCACACTGGATCTTGGATACATTATCATCGTATTTGTTACTGGAGGGGTGCTTGGGTAAGCCTCAAATGTGTTTAGGAGGGTTAATAGCATGCTATTATAATTTTGAAGTACTATTACTGGGGTTTTTATTTTATTTTTTAAGGTATATTTTTATTTATTTTAGAGAGAGAGAGAGAGAAAGAAGCATCGATGTGAGAGAGGAACATTCATTGGCTGCCTCCCGCATGCTCGCTGACTGGTAATCGAACCGGAGACCTTTTGGTATACGGGACGAGGCTTAACCCACTGAGCCACACTGGTGGCAAGGCTACTGTGGTTTTTAATTTTTAAAGTTCTTCCAAGGGTTCTTTAACATTTTAAACTTTAAAAGCTTTATCCTGTGCATATAAATGTGTAATTCTTTAGAAATATAAAAAATAGTTTAAAAAATTTTTTTGGTATATGTAGGTGAAAAATGGATAAGCCTTACTTAGTCCAAGTAACTTTATTTAGAAAAACAAGCAACTTAGAAAACTGGAGGTAAGTTTTTCTCAGGAAAAAAAAAATTGCTTTGCTTCTTAGTTCTTGTGAGCATGGGCCGATTAATGAATAATAATAGTGCCTTGCTTTCACATATCAACTTCAAGGTATTCCCTGATTTGATCATTAGAGTAGGCCTAAGAAGTAGAATGACTGCCTCAGTGTGTGATACTGTCCTCCTGGTAATTCTATAATTCCGGGTTGCGTTTCCTAGTTTCTTCATGACTGGTTACCTCCCCTTGGGCTTTGAATTTGCTGTTGAAATCACTTACCCTGAATCTGAAGGTACTTCGTCCGGTCTTCTCAATGCTGCTGCACAGGTAAACCTCTGACTGCCCTTCAACCTGAGATGGTTTGTTTACCGAATGTTCTAGTGGACGATGAGTTTGACCCTAGTTTTCGTTTTAAAAATTCCACCTTTCAATGAATGCTTCTAGAAGCCAAATCAGACAAATAAAATAGTTAAGAGACGTTCTGGAGAAAACGTTATACTTATATTTTTAAAAGCAAATTTGATAAAAAAAAATAATTCTCTTCTTTTATTTTAGATATTTGGAATTTTGTTCACACTGGCTCAAGGAAAGCTCATGTCAGATTATGGTCCTAGAGCAGGAAACATTTTCCTCTGCGTTTGGATGTTTGTAGGCATCGTTTTGACAGGTAAAGTAGGGTATTTTTCTGGCAAAAGTACTTGTACCAGGTTGTCTTTATGTTTCATTTTCGTGTATATTGATTCTGAATGGCTTGGCAGAACTCAAGACAAAAATGAGATAAAAAGCAGCGTATTATTTGTTTTCTTCCCACGATATGAATCTGTGACTTTATCTTTCAGTTTTCAAATTCAATACAATACAATCACTGTGCACAGAAAACAAAACAGTTGTAACAAGAGTCAGTAGAGAGCTGGAGTGAGCACACCCAGCCTCAGGTTCTGACTCTTCTGCTCACTAACTATGACTTCAGACAAGCGACTTAACCTCCCAGCCCTTCTTCCCCATTTCTGTGGCAGGGGTGCCAAAGCCTGCCTCAGAGGGTTGCTAAGGGGATCAGTGGAGGCGGCTCCGGAAAAGCTCCCAGTATAGTGTGGGCACCTAGGCCGGGCCAGCTCTTGTTAGCTATTATAACGTGGCGGTGGTGGTAAGAAGGCACATGGTGGCAGTAGAAATAGCACTGGGCATGGCTGGCCAGTTCTTACACTTCTGATTAGGTATAATCAGAATAGACGTGAGCAGGAACATGGATAGTGCCCATCTCCCGAGAAAGGACATGTTAAAGAACTGGGATCCACAGTTTGTCCAGACGTGTAGTGTAGAATTGGATTCAGAAGCACGATGTGTCCAGGAGTGCTCGCTGGCCCGCTCGGCTTCGCCTGTTATTTCACTTTGTCGTTTCTTCTGCATCTCTTCACCAAAAGCGAGACAGAATCTATCAGAAAGACGTGAATCCGGGCTTCTTTTTATGTTTATTGAATACCTGATCATTTTTTGTTTTGTTTTTTTGAAACCCCCAACATGAAATTCACCAGTGGTAAACATTTATTTTGGAAATACATAACCACCAAGGTCACTATCATTCCTTCATTGCATTTAAAGAGAGTGATGAATGTCCTTCAAGAAAAACATCCCACAGGAGCAGTTGAGGTCTTGCTCCCCGACATATGTTGTCAGTTTGGCTCAAATAAACTCTTATAAAAATTTTCTAAAACACACACACACACACACACACACACCCATCCTGCTTTGAGGCAGTTTCCCCCCTGTTCTCTTCAGTTAGTAAAATAAAACACACAAAACTGTGAAACAAGTAATACTTTCACTGCCTTGACGGCGCCTCTGTCATAAGAAATTCCATGTGGACTCTTAATTTCCAGGGAAGTAATGTCCGTCACATAGAGTGTTACTCTTGAACTGAAAATGGGAGCTGTGTTTTTGTTTTTAATCCTCACCTGAGGATCTTTTTTTCCATTTATCTTCAGACAGAGGGAGGGAGGGAATGTGTACCTCGGTTGTGTTCCGATCCCCGGCCCTGGTTGGGGTCTTGCGGGAGGCAGCCAGTTGGTGTGTCTCTCTCACATCGATGTTTCTCTCAGTCTATGGTTAACTACCACTTATACTAGTAACTCAAAATCTGTGTCTGCAGACCCTGGGCTCTTTACATCCAATCATGTATTTATCTCCAGACCTGGGTGTTCCATGGACTTTGTGTACTCAGTCTGTCCAGGACTGAACCCACCTTCCCATCACGTATTCCTTTTGTATTTTCAGTTTCAATTATTAGGATCATCGTCCATTCAATTGCCCAAAAGAGAAAACTCAAGTCACCCATTTTTTTCTTTCTCTCCTCCGTATGTTTGAGCACTTTTTTTTTTACCTGCCTTATATTCATCTTTTATATACTAGCAAACCACCAAGTCTTATTGGTTCTATTCTCAAGTATCTCTGAAACTTGTCCCTTCATCTCCATATTTCATACATGTATACCTCACCATCTCTCAGCAGGATTAAAGCCTCTTAACGGACCTTCCTGCCTCTAGCCTTGCTGCCAGTCATCATCCTCCACATAGCTGCAAGATTGGGCTCTCTATTACGCAGGCCTCTTACTAGTCCTAAAATTCATGTGTGCCCAAAGCTTCAAAAGACCAGTGTTCAAAATGTCAGAGCTTGGAGTAAGGAAAGGGTCATCGATCAAGAAGGCACAAGCTCAAGAAGATAGGGGTGCCTTAGATATTCCTCAAATCCATCTTAAGAGAGCCCAGAATTCAGGCTTCTTTTATGTCAAGGGATAGAAGGGCACAAAGTGATTGAGGACCCCAGACATCTGGGCGCCAACAGGGATCCAGGGAAGAGTGGGGGAATCTCTAAATCTCTTTGTTCCTGGTCCTCTGATGTCGGCCCCTGCTGATCTGAGCCTGCTCTTGAGGCTCCTTCAAATCCTTCATAAAGCGTCATACTTTTGTACATATTTTCCTACCTCCTCTGAAAGGCACTTCCTGGCAAGGGGCTGTTCTTTTCAAAGCTCAGGCCTCAAGCAGAATTCCTCTAATGATTAACATACTGATAGCAGGAGCTGTTTGCCTGGAAGCCATGGGAGGAATGCAGGCTAGAATTAAGATAGAGTCAGAGAGACTGAGAGAGTGTTTTACTCGGCTACAGTTCTGATAGTGTCCTCCCCTCTCAGATGCAGTGTAAATGCTTTACACAGTGTGCATGATGCCTACCAACCAGCTTCATGCTCTGCCACCTCCCTCACTGGTCCCCGACTACCTCTAGTGCCAACAATTGCCTAAGCTCTTCCAGTCCCAATGTTTGCAAACGCTGTGTTCCACCCTCCCAAAAGGCCTTTCTCTCTCCTCTCCTATGCTTGATAGGTTCCTACTCACTGTTCAAGTTTCAATTCAAGTATGTCTCCTCTGACAAGCCTTCTCTGATTTCCTCTGGCTAACATAGGCATGTTTTTCTCCCACGCTCCCACTAACTTTATACTAACTTGAATTATTGCAGTTATACAGTGTTGTAATTGCTTGCGTGTCCCTAGTTTGGAGGGTGCTTTAGGGAAAGAATTGCACTGTTCATCTTTGTATCCTTATTTCCTGGCATCCTGTATTTGTTCACTAATGAATGACTTGCTAAATAAGTTAATGACTTAGAGAGGTACTATTATTTGCTCAGACTACAAGGATGCTATTGAATATTATGCCATTTTAGTGTGCTAAATTTGACAATGTCAAAAAAGACTTTGCACTGCTTGGAGAAAAGTATAGTCACACATACTCTGTGGTAACTGCTGATGCTTCTGTTTCAGCATTAATCAAGTCTAAACTGAGAAGACACAATATAAATATAGGAATTCCGAATGGTGACATTAAAGCTGTAAGTAATAAATATTTTTGTGATTATACTACTGAGAAATATGTGAATAAAATAAATGTAAAACCAGTCTATTTCTCAGCTTTTTTTTTATTCCTTAGCCAACTATTGATCTGTCATAATGGTGTATGGCAGATGCTATATGTTTTCTTATCTTCTGATTCTTTCTACAGGTACCAGTGGACAGTCCCACAGATCGAGAATCAAAAACTGTTATGATGTCCAAGCAGTCAGAATCAGCAATTTGAGGTGAATATCATGTGATATATCATGTGATATTTGAGCTGTAAGGCTTGGTTTATAGGTTATGAGGAGTGGACACTTACTTGAAAATTACTGTATGACTCCTAAATTCAATCACTGTTTTGCCTAATTGTTAATTTAAGCAATATTTTGTTTAAATACTTTTGCTTACATCATTTTAACACACCATCTGTCTAACCAGTGTCCCATTTTTAGTCTTATATTGTCAATCTGACCATAAGCTTCTTGACATTTATTTTTCAGAAGTAAATGTTTTTCCTTTTTGTGGAAAATGGAAGCTTAGCTGGCTTTCTGAAGTGATCATGTGGAGGTCTAATCCCTTTAAGTTATATGAGAGTACATGCAATTTATATGTAAAAATACCCAATAGGACCACGTGTACAAAGCGTTCCTAATCGGCTCCCTTTCCAGCGTGGGAGCCCCTTAGTGAGAGTCCAGTGTAGCGACAGGACCCTTCTAATCCACCAAATGACTGTTGGGATGAGACCTCCGGATAACTGTTATGATTTTCCCATTTCTTGTATTCTTGTTATAAAGTGCTTTGTAACAGGTACTGTCAATGGCCATAAAACCATTCAGGGTACAGACGGAACCCATGACTTTGGTCTTACGTTTTAGTTAAGCTCAGGAGCCCGACACAGGCTCATTATCTTGACTTCTCTGCTATGCCATCTTATCATGGTAGAAATGGTAACACTGGCCCTGGCTGGTTTGGCTCAGTGGTTAGACCATCGGCCTGTGGACCAATGAGTCTCGGGTTCCATTCCAGTCAAGGGCACGTACCTCGGTTGCGGTTCATCCCAGGCCCTGGTGGGGTCATGCGATTGGCAACCAGTCATTGTGACTCTAGCCATATCGATGTTTTTCCCTGTCTCTCTTTCTCCCCCTCCCTCCCACTCTAACGGATAATAAGTAGAAAAACATCCTCAGGTGAGGAATTAAAAAAAAAGAAATGGTAACACTGTATTTTTTCACTCCAGTTTGAAATAGAGAAGTTTTGTACCCATTAGGTTTTTTACCTGCTCTTTTTTTTTTCTTTCTTTTTTCCCAATATATATTTTCTAGTAGGAAAATTTCATCCTGTGTGTTACTGGCTTTTCCATGATTTTTTGTATCACATCTTATACTTTTGCCTTGAAGATTCCTAAGATAAGGAAATCGGGGTGCTCCAGTCCAGTGGAGCCCTCTTAAGTGCTGTCTAGCGCTGGCTGCTGTGGCTCGGTTGGTGGAGCCTCATCCCATGCACCGAAGGGTGGCAGGTGCCGTTCCCAGTCAGGGCCCGCACCCTGGTCGCTCATTTGGGAGGCAACCAATCCGTGTTTCTCACATCCACGTTTCTCTCTCTTTTTTTTTTTTTTTTGACCTTGATTCAGTATCTTTACTTTTTACAGGTTGCACACCGACATCTCATTTCTTTTCTTTTTTTAAAAAATTAATTTATTTTTGTTACAGATGTTTCTCCTTTTTCTCTCTTTTCTCTCTAAAAATCAGTAAAAAGGGCATGTCGTCAGGTGAGGATTAAAAAATAAATGCTGTCTATTCTAATTCTCCAGTGTCATTTTTTATGACCATTCTCCTTTGAAAGACTGTGCCCAGGTATGTGCTCCCTCGGTTTGTTGAGGGAGTGGATTCTTGTCTTCACCACAGACTGCACAGTCTCAGTACTGTAGGAACCATCGCTCTTTCACGCTCAGGGGAAGCAGAATAGGACCAAATGTGTCTCCACAGTGCCTACCTCCACGTTCTGTTTACAGTGAGAATTTAAATGGTGTTCAAGTCCTGACTCTAAACTGATAAGGGAATATCCTCTTCAGAGTGATGACATTGAACAGCCATAATATTTACATGATGTCCAACACAAACAAAAAAAAGCCAATCAGGTGTACCTTTGATGCCCTCGAAGTGAATTAGCAGCTCTGATTTGGGCATCACACATGCATTGCTCTATACTGGAGTGATATCCTCTGTGATCCACCGGCAGTCCATCACGCAGACTCTTCCCTGGGGGCTGTCACCAGAACAGCTCAGCTAGGAACCAGGAACTCCAGGCCCATGTCTGCATCTGTTTCTGGTCATCCCTGTAAGTCCCTGGGCAGCATTGCCTTCGTCCATGTAATGAATGTGTTCGATTTAATCTCAAAGATCTTTAAATTTTAAATGCCATCCATCACGGGGTAGACAAAATCCCTGTACCCCAGGAACTTAAACAAACTATAACTGAGACATTCCCTGGGCAATTGGACAAACAACAGTGCTTGTTACTTTGTGGACACGGATTTAAGATCTGTTTTTAGCCTTTTTATTCAGTTGGTGATAGGCAGAATATGCTGACTCATTAACTTCCCTAGCTATTTACATCACAGGTTTATGGCCAAAAATATATTTTAAGGTCTCTCCGCTAAATGATTGTTTTTATTTTTAAACTGACAGTGTTGTTTAAAATAATCATGTATTTGCCGAGTTCTTGCGGTCTTGAACAAATTATGTATAAAAACTGGAATACTTTATTTCTGAAAAGCATATACATTTCATGTGCATTTTTTCTTGTTGATTAATAAAAGAATGAAATGTGATAAAATCCAAAAATGAATTAATAATTTTTCTGTGTTTTGAGTTAAAGTTGTCTGTACTATGTCAAACAAGAACATCATATAATTCTGTATCATATGTTTAGGAAATGGAGTTGGGTAACCAACACTTGTGTACATTTTAATCAAATGACTTTAGAAAGCAATCGGAGGCTTTTCATAGCAGTTTTGTTTATAACTGTTGCAAATACAGCTTCTGCCTTTCATGAATGTGGGACAGTGTCTTTAAACCCTGATTGTGTGTAAACTCCGAGTGTCGCTGGGCGAATCCCCATCGCTCTTAAGTCGGTCTTCATGTTTTTTGCTCTTTGTAATAGTGTCTGTATGCTTGGTCTTCAGGATTTCAGACTTGAAGTAAATTTATTTTTTTAATGTTAATTTTGTATGGCTTTTTCTTTTTTTTAAGTTCTGATACTTCAGTACATGTGGGGAGTGGAAAGGGATTATAAGGTTTCAGAATGGGCAGAGGAGGGAGGGAGGTGGTGTTGTAGACCAACGGGACAGACCAGACTCAGGCTCCGAACTGGGTTCGAATTAAGAGAGCTTTATTAGCCGCGGGGCGGCGGTCCCATCCTGCGCAGAGGAGACAGCAGCCCTGAGCCCAGGGGGTGGGTTGCTTATATAGCTGTCTTAGCCCCGTTAAGAAATCGGGCTGAGGGTCTGCGAGCAGGCACATACAGAGGGGGTATCTGCTGTTAGCCAGTATGTCCGAGGGGTGAGCAGCTCTATTTGCACAATGTAGTGGTCAGCTCCGGCTGACGCCTAGCTCCCTCCTGCCTAGTTCCCGGAATCCTCTGAGGGTCCAGAGCAAGGTCTACCAAGTGGGAAATTTTTATCTACAAGTTTTCACAGTACTTTAGCTGTCTGTTCTTTTGTTTGATTGCCCCATTGTCTGTCCTTCACAGTGGTCTGTGGCCCTGTCAGCGCAGGGCCTGGGACCTCTCTCCTTCCTTTGACCCCGTGTCCTCATGGCTGCCCCCAGTGAGCTGTCATGGGACACTACACCTACGCTTCAGACTTTTCTCCACCTTTTTCTCCTGATAGCATGTGCCTGTATGGTACCAGATATAGTATCTATCATTTTTCCTCCAGGCCTTGCTGATTACCATAACGATTGAAAAGTGGGGTAGGATTTTTTTTATTGAAAAATGGGGTATGATAAATGTTCTTGTTTCTACAGGCAGAACTGGGTAGTATATCAAAGAGGCCCAAAACAAGAGACTCGGTAGCCACAAAGGAAGATGCCACCTCCTGTGTAACCTGGAAGCCATAAAAAATGCTACCACCCTCTCATCATATCATTTTAATTATAATTAGTGTGATATTTTCAGATGAGGTTTCCAGCTTTACGAGTTTGTTTTCCAAATAGCTAAATGTTGAGGCAGAGTCATCAAACTGAAATGTAAAAGAATACATTTTATCTGTTACCCGTTACCCTATAATAAATAGGAACTTAAAAATCTAAGACCATTCTCAGACCTCTTTGAGAATCACTAAAATTACATTTAGATTTTCAGTGGAAAAAACTATTTCCATCCAGAAAAATACACAATTCTCATTTTTCACAGCAGGCCAATACATAAGGTAAGTGACACATTTCTGAAGACCACGCATTCTCCTGTGACCTACCTGCCCAGTCCCAGATTCCCAGGTCAAGGCACCTGCTCCCACCACACTGCCTCTCCCTCTCTGCAAGTCAAATTAGTCATTTTTGTAGACAACTTTCCCTGAAGTGACTTCAGGGGCCTGGACAGGATCCTGTGCCCGGAAAATGCCTTTATGACATTTCACAGCAGATGAAATGCCTGTCGGTCTCTAATGATAGATCAGTTTCAAAGCACACTGACTGCCAAGAGGAAATACCTTAGATCATGTACTAAGATTTATGCGTGTCCTTTGAGCAGGTATGAAAAGGAGAGGAGGACACGGAGTCTGGAGGCCCTAGGCCTAGAGCTTCGGGAAAGGACAATGGGATTCAGGAGCGAGGGGAGGAAGTGAGTGACACAGGTAGGGCATCTGAGCTTCATTTTCCATTTAGACAAATGACAAGTTAGGCCTTTGCCAAGTCTTGTTATAGTATTCATTTGCACTTTTCCTTTATTTCCATTATTTTAAGCCCACAATGAAAAGGCAATTATAAAGAGAACAAACTATCAGAAACCACTAGAAACTCGATTTCTGGTTGGAGCCCCTGGGTTTTGGTTGATAAATACTGCTTGAGCACACCTCTCTTTCTTAGGGAAATACCTCGTTCCTCCAGGCTGAAATGGCTCCAAACCCCTTGAAATTAATTGATAGATTAAATTTCATAAAGTTTCATTATGTATAAAAGTAAGGCTGACATAAAACTAACAGTAGCCTAGCCGGAGTGTCTCAGTTGGTTGAGCATTGTCCTGTGTACCGAAAGTTGGCAGGTTCCATTCCTGCTCAGGGCATGTGCCTGGGTTGCCCTTCAATCCCCAGGTGGGGCACATAAGGAAGGTAAACAATGCTTCTCTCTCACATGGATGTTTCTCTCTCTCCTTCTCTCTAAGCATGTCCTTGGGTGAGGATTTTTTAAAAAAGTAACAGTGATTTCATTTTCAGTGAAAAGTCTGAACCTTCATATCATTTTGACCCAAAACCTAGATGAGTAAGCTCAAGACGGTTCTGCCTACGGCAGGACTGATGTGTGGGCAGATTGCACCATCAGGAGATTAACATTTGCAAAGAAGTCCCTGGAGAGGTTACACATGGGCACAGATTCATTACTTGCAAACCTATGTGGAACTTGGCACTATTGTCTATAAGACTACTTCCTTATATGGTTAGAGTCTGTTATTCATACGCATCATTTTATTGCCTCTACTGCATCATGACCCCTTTGAAAGCATTCACCATGGCATGTAGGACAAAACATGGCCTTCAGGAGCCCAAAGTCTCAGGTGTGAAACCTGGCTGTCTGATCCTAGGACACCCAGGTAAAACCCTCTGGATTTCTGTTTCTTCATCTACTAAGTAGGATGATATTTCCTACCTTGCAGGTTTGTGAAAAGGATTAAATTTAAGTGGAAGGCATACCGTTGATCCTTAATAAATCAGATCCATTATTATTCTCATTGTGAGAAACAGTATAAATAGGGACTTGCTGCTGATAACACTCAAGAGACACTTGACACATTTGGGAGAACATGATGCTTAAGTCTTTGAACTTGAAGTTA